TGAAGTGTTGTGTTGGTTGGGCAGCGAGCGGGTCGGCGCCGAAATGCGTGAGCTGGTTTCCAAGGCAGAGCTCCACATGGCTTCAAGGGCCAGAATGAGAGCCGCAGAGAGCTACAGAATGGCTTGGACACATTTCTAGGGGCGTTGACTCGGTTTCTGGGGGGGGGGTTGACCGGAGTTAGAGGGGATTTGACAGGTGTCTAGTGTTGTTGTAGGGGTGTTTTATTCGGCTTCGAGATTGGTGGGTTTTGAGGGGAACCCGGCGGTTTTTAGAGGTTGGTTGACCAGTTTTCAGGGAGCCCCTTCTCGCTTCCTGACCCTGGGAACCAGGCTCGATATTGACCGCTCGACATGGGTGGGGGGGGCTTCCCCTCAGAAGTTAACTCCTTCAGTCACGGAGCAAGGCAAGTGCAACTGGTGGTCGGGCAACTTTTCGTGACAGGGCAAACTCGCCAGGATCCCACGCGGCTGGCTTGATTGTTTTTCCTGGCGAAGTTTGATTTGCGCCAAGCGAGGGGCGGGGGAGGGTTTGGCAAGTTCATGCATTTTGGAAGTTGGTCAAAGTCATGTGCATTTGCCATGTTCCCGGCGATGGCTTCTCAAGTCTGGCAAGCCTTGCCATTCTGCAAGCTGGTAGCACGCCTCTCATGAGTAGGGGGCGCTCTGACTGTTGGCGACCCCACTCTACCTTTCCCAGGAACCTGTTTCACCCTCAAACACCCAGAGCTTTTCCATTCGTGCATGCATATTTCCCCATTTATGCGCATAGCTTTACGTGTGTTTGGAGAGATTGCCTTGTAGGTGATCAGGCTCCAGGCTTTGACGCTTGCCCCAACCGTTGGAGACCGGGTCAGCAAACTTGTATTTGCAAAGTAGCTTAAGAGCTCATTTGCTTGTTGGTTCATTTTGATCGTCTCTGCTATCTCAGCCACGTGCAACAAGCCAATGTGCAAACGTGTTCCTGTGATGCGAATGTGAGCATGTAGGGCAATCATGGCCACGCCGACAGGCAAGAAGCCGACCGACTGACCGACCAACCAACAGCTCACCTTTTGGCCCTCGAACACCGCGCGCCTTTGCGAGGCCCAAGAACCGGCCCAGCGGAGGCTGGTCTGCCAAGTTCAGCGCCGGGAGATTCTCTTTAAACCAACAAGGGAAAATAAACAAGTATTCGCTTCATCAAGTGGAAGGGACGGGTTCTCTACGTAATCTGGGATCAACATGGTTGTCCCTCCCCAGCACTGAGACACCCACCCCTATTACTCAACCAGGGGCTTTTTATATCTTATTAATCCGGAGCTCCCAGTATACATGCGTACATTACACGGGTATTTGTGGACCCGTACATTCTTGCATGTAGTAATGCCGGACGGCGATTAGAACGTGGACCCACCTGCCTGCGGAAGCACCAGGCCGGTGCAAAGTCATACTCAGACAACTTTTCCTAGCTGCCCACTTTCAAACAGACTTTAAAACACTTGCTTGCATGCAACATGTTTTTGATGATTGGTTTGTTCAACCTTGTTCGGAGTTCACGTTTGTGCTTTGCTCGAAGCTCGCGTGCCGCAAATCCAAGGCGTTGACCTCAGTTAAACTTAGTCAATGCCGTTTGATCCCACCCAAGCAGGTAACCGTCCGCACGCCTGGACCCTGCTTCTTTACACGTTGGCAGTCTGAACTAAGCAGTAAAACGTCTTTGTGCTTGGAGGAATTGAAACGGGCAGGGTCATCTCAGAGGGGCCACGTATGGCTATACCTCATGGGGTCACATAATGTGAGAGGGGAATGCGAATGCAGTTAACGGACGGAAGCATGCAGCAAGGCGCGCTTAGTCAAAGCATCCGAGGCTTAAACCTCAAGCGCCGAGGCGTACTGCCTCTGAACTTTAACATGTCGCTGCTGCAGCCAACAGAGACCTTGCAAGTCCGTATGCTGCACTTGCCGCAGCATAGGGAATCGACATTATTGCAGACACGTGTGAAAGCAACTCGACCCATAATGTTTCCCCATAATTCTCTACATTTGAGCTAAAATGTGTCGTTTTTATATAAATTCTAGTAAAGCACGGCCGCTTCCAGGGCCGGTTCCGTAATGTTGCTTGTGAAGCTCCAAATAGCCAATTATTAATCAACCCCAGTTTCTTAATAGGGGGGGGGGTGTCCCTGGGTTTAGTAGGGAATCATAAAGTGGGGATGATTAATATGGAGGAAACATCATGGTGGCACCCCACGCCTGGCGATTCGAACGCATCGCCAGGCGTGACCGCGGCACCCACCACCTCGAAGCTGCCGCCAGTGGCGCCGCCGCCCCTGATCCCCGCGCCGCCGCCCAGGGCGTCCTGGCGCGGGGGGGGACTGGGGGGGGGGGGGCTGGGGGGCGGGGGCAAGGGGACAAGGCATGTAGGCTTGTGATTGAGGACAATGGGAGAATGTAGGTTTGGTGGAGGAAAGCGAGAATTTGGTTGGGTGGCTCCCCTTTTTCGGAGTTGTTTGGCGTGGATTCTCGTTTTGGTCTTGAAAGCTGTTTTCCGAGGAATGCAGGGGGAAACCGGCCTCTTTTGATGGGGCTCCCCGAATCTTGAGACAGGCCCAACTCACAAATGGGCTTGCACTGGGAGGTACCCGGGGTGGCAAAGTTATTTGCCTGGGGAGTACTCGGTTGGTCACCTTGCGGTTGGACTTGTTGTTGTTATTTTTCACGCGTTCACTTGTTGAACTGTTTGCGCATCAGACTGCATAACTGAGCTCTCCTCCAAAGCTACTTTATACATTTAGGTAGGCTAATACATATGAACATGAATCAGAACATGTTCTTGGAGTTCCCCAAGTGTGGGCCAAGCAAAAGATCAATGGGCTTGAAGAGGCCTATGGCCGCTCCAGTTGGAAGGCCTGCAGGATGGTGAATAAGAAGTGCCCCTGTGTTATCTTGTTCATGCAGGGTGTGGCAAACCCTACTCTCAAATGAATATTGCGTTTGCTTCCTCCGCTGTCAAATATGGTTCCCCGCGCGGTGAATCAATTTACTGCCCGTTTAGATGCAAGGTCTCTTTTTGTTGGTTTGAGCAAGTGAGGGGCGGGAAGAGGTCAATCAGGAGCATGTGACGGGTATGTGTCGAAGCAGGTCCCTAAACTGGCGGTTCCCCTTTTTGGGTCCCACCGCAGGGGGACCACTGTCTTTGAGACACTATATCACCAGAACTTGCTGCAGGCATGCGTCGGCAGAATCATGAAGCTGCCTGGTTCCCCCTGGTTCCCCCTGGTTCCCCCTGGTTCCCCATTTGGACTCCTGGCCGATTGCCGCATGGCTGGTGCATTTTCAGTTGGAGTAATCAGACCTACTCCCTTGCCAACCTGGAGCTGGACGCAGGTCCTGGAAGTCCTTGTTGTCACTGCAGGCGGTTCAGCGAGCGGTTCATTTGTTGGTTTTTATTGCCCCACCCTTGAGGGTCAAGGGCCTGTGGATGGCCCAGTCACACTTAAGACGTTTACAAGCTTCCGTCCTTTTTACCCACCAACGTGAGGGCGGGGCTTTGTTTTGGGTATACCCTTTTTCGGTGTTGTGGATCCAGGGCGCCGGGAAGCCAAGAGGACACCGCCAGAAGCCACCCCTTTTTTGGAGGTTCCGAGATTTTGGACACAAGTATTCTAGGGGTTGACCCCCCATTTCAAACATCGTTCTTTCCAAAAACTAGCCGTTTTCCCTGGGTCTCCGGAGGTTTTCTAGAAAGAATGATCCCTGGAAAGAATGGGGAAAGTTTGCCTGGAGCTATCGCAAGCAAACCCGTCCCTTACCAATCCGTGCAGGCACGAGCGCGAAGGACCTCCTGGGCACCGCAGGGACTTACCCGATGCCGTGGAGCCAACCAGAGGCTCGGAGACTGGCCTTCCGCGACCCCACAAGTAAGGCTCCCCATGTTGGCTGGAGGGTTCCCATAAAATGCCCTATGCGATGTGTATCCCACCATTCTTGTTGACTTCAGCCACCCACTCAGACAGTAACGCATGCGCTTGGGAGATATGTACTGAACTTGTTTGTTTAAACCCCCCGCCTCAACCGTGTGCGTGCCTGTGACCCTACCATACAGGCATGCCCGTAGTGCTGAAGATACGTGGACGGAAAGGATGCCCAGCTTCAGGCGGCTTGAGGCACTTGTCGCGGCTTGGATTGCAGTTGGCCAGGTCCCGCTTCCATGGGGAGCTCCCCTGCCAATGGTTTGCCGGATGTCCCAGGTAGTTGAGTTGAACATTGAAAGGCACGGCCGTCAAATGATATACCTGGGCCATGTTTATTTTTTCAAAAGGATGCCAAGCGCCAGTGCTGTTTAGTTTGATGGTTCGGGAGTTGTTGCATTTAGTCAGGCAACAGGGGGGCAACACGTCTCGCTGAGCTGCTGGGGTTGGTTCAGCTCGGGCCATGAACAGTAGCATGTTTTGCGACGCCGCCCGGGATTAGAATCAACCTCACTTTTGAATGACGTCGGCGATTGGTTGGGGCGAGAGATGATGCAATACATTATTTGCCAAGAACGCGAGACCGTGGTCGTTCGGAGTTGAGACCATAGCCTTGGTTGGTGCTTCTGGGGCGGCGCCCCAGAAAGATAGCTTGCAGCCAACTAACATCCCCCAAAAAAGGAGTCCCCCGAAAGGGATTCCCCAACCCTGAAAACCGGGGTCCTGACGAGGAGATCCCTCATCGACTCATCGACAGTTTGGGTCCAGAGCACTTGTGCCAGGAGAGCAGCCAGCCGAGGCCGGATCTCGCTTTTGCTGTACTGAGGGTGTGGACTTTGTCCCAGGCGGAAGCCTTTCGAAATCACCATGAATGCGCATGCGTTTCTATGCGCTGGCAAAGCATTGGGCAACTCCTGGGGCCCTGAGAAGTTTGCAATCCGACCCAAACTTCCTCACAGCATTCCCAGGTGTTTTTCCAGACGGCGATTTGGTTCTCGAAACAAATGACCAAACCTGTCGTAACTTGTGCCGCCAACCCCCGTGGCATTGGCTCAGCTTCGGTCGGCCGATTTTGGGCGAAGATTCGCCATGGACTTCGACGAGCTCGAGGAGGCCACGGGTCCGTCCAGCTTCGGCAACGGGGGGTCCATGGCATGTTTTGAGGGTATCCTTCGTGGTGCCTTTGTTGGGGGAGCTAAAGGGATACCACCCATCTTCCGGGGGTTACTGCATACTTGGGATTATTGCACAGGGTAAAACACCAAATGAGCAAAACGCTTGATTTTGCCAAAAGGCGGGTGGGGGAGGGGTGGGCAAAACAACAGACCCTTAGAAATGGGAGTTTCAGAATCAAGTCGTATCCTGACTGCCAGATGTTAGTTGTAGTGATGGGCGATTTTCCTTGTTGTATTGGTAGCTTCCCCTAGCCTTGTCAGAGTTATCTTACCCCGTTGACTTTTTACCTTTTTGGTTTTCCTTCATTCTGCACTTCAACCGGCAAGAAAAGCTAGCTGTGCGGTCCAAGCCTAGCGCAGCTTACAAACGGATTGTTTTGAGGTGAGAGAATTATGTCCGCAATCTCTTTCCGTCTAAATCCGCATTTTTCAGTGCAGCTGCAAGCAAGCAAGCAAGCAAGCAAGCAAGCAAGCAAGCAAGCAAGCAAGCAAGCAAGCAAGCAAGCAAGCAAGCAAGCAAGCAAGCAAGCAAGCAAGCAAGCAAGCAAGCAAGCAAGCAAGCAAGCAAGCAAGCAAGCAAGCAAGCAAGTAACAGTGACGAGAAGAGAAGGAGAAGAGAAAGATAAGAATAAGGCCGAAGCAGCTGGATGGGACCTGGGGCTGAGAATCCCGAGAAGAGGCAGAACTCTCCTGAACTTTTGCAGAACTCTCGCAGAATTCTTGCGGAACCCTGCGGAACCCTAGCTCAGAGCCGCTACCCGGAGTCTACCTGAGCAGAGACCCCATCGCTTGCAGCTGTTGGGAAATAAAAACTGCAAGTGGCCCCCTTTGGTCCGCACAACCCAACAGAACCACTTATTTTGAACAACCCGGACAATTGCACTGCGGTGGGCCATTCTGTGGCTCCAAAGTCACGAAAGGACACCATGGATTTTGTTTCTGCTCCCTTTGCTGGGGTTGACAGGGTGAGTTGGAGGACCCCACGCTCTTCTTGAGGTGGGGGGCAAGACCAGCGAGCCAAGCCCACGCAAAAAATGCGTCGACCGTGGGCTTGTCTTCTTTTGCCGGTACCCGAATGGAACCCGACTGTTTGGAGGGTTCACGTATTAGGAGACAAACTTGTGTTGCCCAGTGGTTCAGTGGCATTGTGTTCTTCATTTGCTGCGGGCCCGCGTCTTGGGCTTCCATGGGCTTTTGGGAAAGGAACTGCTCACACGTGCAGCATGATGAGGCCGGCCCGGCTAGGTGCCCAAACGCGAGCCACACCATTTCCACCAGCACCTAGGGTAGGGACACGTACCCGGCTCCAACTTCCTTCCGAGGAAGTGAAGTTTTCCGAAAGTTGCAGAGAGGCGGATTCTATGTGTTCCAGAAGATTCCACCAGACTTTTTCAGGTTCCCGAAGATTATAATTTATAATTGAATAGCTATGTCGGTGGGTTTGCAATTTTGGGGCTCCATGTTCGGCAGGTGGAGGGCGATGCCAGCGCGCAGAAGTCCGCGGCTGATGAGAAGGCGGGATGGCAGATTGTGGATTCCAAGAATTAGTTGCCAACCTTTTATGGACTGGAGACGTGAGGCTGTGACATCTATGTCTGTCTGTATGTCCGTTTGTTTATACAGCTTGTGTGCGTGTGTTGTTTTGAATCTCCCAAGGAGGTCCCAATCCTTTCAATCAGGTGGAACAGGTGGGAAAGCCACACTCCAGAGCTCTAGGGCTGCGAGTCTTGCCAGCCAGGGAGTGGTGCGGCATCGCAGTCTTTTGGCTTGGATCCGTTCAAGAGGATGCTGATTGAGGCTTTCTCGGGAGTCTTTGAGACTCAAGTCCGAGACTCACATCTTCCTTTCTGCCGACGGACTGGGAGACACGGCATCAAAGTGTTACAGCAGCGGGGTTGGTGCAGACCATGAACGAGAGCCACAGGTTCCCTTTAGGAAACAACTCGCATCAAAGCCTTCCATATGGTATTGCAAACCCCCTTTTTGGAAAATTGGATAAAGTCTCGTTGGAAATAAAGGGGCACTATACGACGAAGTCCTGCACCACCGCCATGGGAAACCACTGCTATTGGTTTGCATTTGCAGGGGGAATCGAATCATTGTGAAAGTGCCAACCAATCTGTAGATGGACAGAATCCTGCGCCACTTTGAAACCATGGTTGAAACCATTGTTTGTTGATATTCAGGGGGATCATCATATAGGTTTCTTCGGTGCGACATGGGTTTCGTTCATCAGTGACTTTCGCCAGGCCGCCGCCGATAGGGCGGCTGCAGCGGAGAAGCTGTCAGCGGAGAGGACGGGTCGGCATTTGGGAGCCGTGTGCGGCCCGGTGTTTCCGCCAGGGACGGATTCAAGGGTTGGTCAAAGGGAAACAAAAAGGGAAAATCATGCACGTGTGGATGGTAGGTGCGGAATGAACTCGGTTTCGAAAAAGATGGTCAGGGTCGGATTGCCCGTTCGTTGCCCGAGCTGCCTGAAGTCATATTGTTTTCCGAGCTGCACCTTTACGCCCGTTGCTTCTAGACGGGCTTGTCTCCAAATGGTGGTAGGGACCCTGCAGCCCACAGTCTCCGATGTCACGAGAGCGGCCAAAGCGGAGACGAATTCAAGCCAGCCGCTCCCAAGTTCCCTTCATCAGAGAAAAATAAAGGGGGTGAAGGGTCAACGGGGCGAGGCTTCAGGGCAGACGAAGGCAGAAAGCAGCGCAAAAAACCATGAAACAGCAGAAAACAGCCGTTGATTTTAGACAGACAAAAAGCAACAATCATATGGGTTTGTCACTGGGAGCTGGGGTTGCGATGGTTCCTCCTTCCACCAAAAGGATCGTTGTGAGCTTGTAGTTGGGCTGGATTTATTCCTCCTTTTCTGTGTTGTCACAGCCGCTTTGCTTCAGTGTAGAGTCGTTCAAATAAGAGGGGCGTATTTGGAAATTTGTGCGCATTTTTTCAGTGCCCAAGGGGCTGGTTTGAGACGCCGATGGTCCGAAACACCCATGCCCAAACAGCGGTCCCAAACACCCATGGTCCCAAACGGTGGTCCCAAACATGGTCCCAAACGGTGGTCTCAGACGGCTGGTCCCAAACACCCATAATCCCAACACAGTGGTCCAAGTTGGTCCCAAACACCCATGGTCCCAAACCCCAAACACCCATGGTCCAAAACACCTGTGGCCCCAAACGGTGGTCCCAAACACAATCCCAAACAGCCGGTCCAAAACTCCCGTGGTCCCAAACAACTGGTAACACCCCACACCCATCGTCCCAAACGGTGGTCCAAATCCTAAACACGATCATCTCAAACAGCTAGTCCCGAACACCCATGGTCCCAAACAGTTGGTCCCAGACACCCATGGTCCCAAACGCCCGGCCCCAAACGGTGGGTCCCAAACACCCATAGCCTCAAAGGTGGTCCCAAACAGTGTTCCCAAACACCCGAACGATGGTCCCAAATGGTGCATGGTCCCAAACGCCCATGACCGCCCAATGGTCCCAAACGGTGGGGTCCCCCCAAACACCCATGGTCCCAAATGCTGGTTTGGTCCCAAACCATGGTCCCAAACACCCATGGTCCAAACTGTGGGTCCCAAACACCCATGGTCCCAAACAAACACCCATGGTCCCAAACAGCTGGTCCCAAACACCCATTCAAATTGTGGGTCCCAAGACCCATTCATTGTTAAACGGTGTGGTTGCAAAACCCATGACACACACCCAGCCATCCAGCCATGGGTCCCGTCCCAGGTCCCAAACAGTGGGTCCCAAACCCCAAAACACATGATCCCAAACGCACCAACACCCATGGTCCCAAACAGCTGGCCCAAACACCTATGACTCTGACCTCAAACCCATGGTCCCATCGTGGGATCCAAACGCTGGTCCCAAACAGCTGGCCATGTGAGTGGCCCATGGTTCCACACGGTGGTCCGAAGCAGCTGTTGTGGGTCCCAAACACCCATAGTCCCAAACGCTGGTCCCAAACGCCTGCCTTTTTAAGGTGCGCAGCCTTTTGTAAAGGGTGGAAGTGCGACTTGTCCGAACCATGCCCCCGAACCATACCCCAAACCACACCCCCGAACCATACCCCGAATCATACCCCCTTCGTACTACTACTACTGCTACTACTACTACTATTACTACTACTACTGCTAATTCTACTTCTACTTCTACTTTTACTACCACTTCTACTACAGCTCCTGCTACTACTACTACTACTACTACTACTACTACTACTACTACTACTACTACTACTACTACTAATGCTATTACTACTACTACTACCACTACCACTACCACTGCCACTACTACTACTACTACTACTACAACAACAACTACTACTACTACTACTGCTAGGCTACTACTACTTCTACTACTACGATTGCTACTCCTACTCCCGCTCCTATTCTTACTACTACTACTACTACTGCTACTACTACTACTGCTACTGCTACTGCTACTGCTACTGCTACTGCTACTGCTACTGCTACTGCTACTACTGCCACTCCTACTCCTGCTACTCCCACTACTACCACTACTACTACTACTACTTCTACTACTACTACCACTGCTACTACTACTACTACTGCTACTACTTCTAGTGTTGCTAATACTATTACCACTACTACGACTACTACTACTACTACGACTACTAGTACTACTACTACTACTACGACTACCACTACGATTACTACTACTAATATTACTACTACTACTACTACTACTACTACTACTACTACTACTACTACTACTACTACTACTACTACTATAGTAGAACAGCCTGAAACACCTAATCAACGCCACGACACAGAAACGTGTTGCCTTTCTACACTAAAAGTGCCCTCATGAATGCATGCAGCAATAAATGGCTTGACCGCTTTGTGCGCAGCACAGCAACCAAACACAAGCAAGCCAGCTAGCCAGCAAGCCAGCAAGCCCTGGAGACAATTACCTTCAGCGCCGGAAGGAAAGAAAGTGCTTTCCGAGGAAACACGGGTGTTTGCGGTGTTTTCTTGTCGTTTTCGTCCTCGGGCCTCACCCCATTTACCGCTCACCCAATTAATTTCCCTCTAACTTCAGGCCGTTCCTTTGTCTTCGCTGGATGGGCCATGCCGTAGAGCCGAATCAGATGGGACGTGGGGATTTGCTCAAACCTGTGCAGTGAACAGGGGATACTGTGCATGGACGAACTCCATTTCGCACCTTCCAACCCAGGAGAAACCCATTGGAAACCCCGAAACTCAGTGCGTCATACTGAGGATGCTTGCGAAATCCGTTCGCAGCACCTAAGAAACCATGGGTTCGCTGGCAGTTGCAAGGAGGATCATCAGAAGCCAGGGTTTCTTAGGTGCGAGAAGCGGAGTTCGTCGATCCATATGGTCACAGGAGGGCCATGCTGAAGAAGGAGGAGCCACAGGCCCAAAGGGACGGATCGAATCGCACATCGCCTGGCTTGGAGGCTCCCTGCTTTATGTAAGGAGCCCAATGGAACCTCTTTTTGGTTATGGCAATTTGTTATTCGGCTCAAGTCAAGTTTGAGTCTTAAAATAGCTTGACCATGTCCGAAGCTTTCATTGTTAGGTGTTGCAAGCAGGCGAGTGTTTTGTGTGCCTCCCCTTTTGCGCGGGTTGCTGAGCCAAGAGAACAAAAGAACTTACACCCATGAATTGCAGGTGGCCTGCTATGAGTCAGCATAGGTCATGTATGGATCAATTATGTGGTTGCTGAGACTCGTTTTCCGGTTGGCTACGCAAGGGTATAGCGCTCTTTCACATACCCTGTAAAGCATGTGAAAAGCGTGGCTTTGAGGCAATTTTCTGTGATACGCAGGGAACCCCCGTCAAGCGCATCGGCCTTCGGAAGCCGGGAAGAAACCTCCTGCCGCATTGTTTTTGGGAAAGCGCAACAAGTGTTGAGCTGCCAAAGCACATAAACACACACACACACTCACACACACACACAAACACACACAAGCAGCACACACAATCACACACACAAGCACACAAACAATCACACACACACAAACACACACACAAGCATACACAATCAAACACACAAAGACACACACACACACACTCGCACACACACACACACAATCACACACACACACAAACACACACACAATCACACACACACAATCACACACACACAAACACACACACACACACAAGCACACACACAATCACAAACACACACACACACACTCACACACACACACACAATCACCACACACACACACACGCACACGCACACGCACAAGCACACGCACACGCACACGCACGCACACGCACACGCACACGCACACGCACACGCACACGCACACGCGCACGCGCACGCGCACGCGCACGCGCACGCGCTCGCGCACCCGCTCGCGCACGCGCACGCGCACGCGCACGCACACGCACACGCACACGCACACGCACACGCACACGCACACGCACACGCGCGCACACGCGCACGCGCACGCGCACGCGCACGCGCACGCGCACGCGCACGCGCACGCGCACGCGCACGCGCACGCGCACGCGCACGCGCACGCACGCGCACACACACAGAGAGAATCACACACACACACAATCACACCTAGAATCACACACACAGACAATCACATACACACACACAAGCACACACACACAATCACACACATACACATAATCACACACACAATCAACCACACGCACACAGACTCACACACACACAATCACGCACACACACACACACACAATCACACACACACAAACACACACAGACACACACACGATCACACACACACAATCACACACACACAGGCACACACACAATCACACACTCACACGCTCACACACTTAATAACACACACACACAATCACGCACACACACACACACACTCGCACACACTCGCACACACTCACAATCACAGACACACACACACACCCTTACACACACAACCACACACACATTGTAATGTGGTTATGCGCAACGGACATGATAAGTCAAGTCTCCACTCCGGACATATTGACTGACAGGTCACGAATGCCAAGAAGTTGGGATAGTCATGACAGGTTGGTTGTGCCGACTTGTCATCATGGATTAAGATAATTTCATGCTGCATTTCGACGCATCAAGCGTGAGCAACAATGATCCGGGAGTGGGCATCCATGAAGGGGCTGGTGAGGGTGTTTACGCTGGGATTCCTTCATTCGGTTTTGTGAGTTGTAGCAACTTGCCCAGTAGTTACTGACCCTGGCAGATCGAGCGGGCGGGTCCGGAAATTTCCGGGGTCCCAGGCGCCGTGTTTCTTGGACCCCCGGCCCACCCAGAATTTGTGGGGCCCCACAAGCCCTAAGTGCAACATGAGCCGACATGCGCCACAATAAAAACTCGGTAGATGAAGGTCCAGCCATAAAGAGTTGCGGCCGCCTTCGTATTTCCTTACATGGCTTTGGGTCAACCATTTTAATACCGGGTTTTGACTCACATGGTCAAACAATCATCGCCAGGCCAATGGCGCCAACGGTGCCAGCGCCAATGGCGCGCCGCCGGCGCCGGCGCCGGCGCCGGCAGCACCCAAGTTGCCGCTTTGGGAGGTGGTGGGCGGAGCCTCGGCGAGAGAGAGGGCTTCCTCCAAAAAGGGAGTTGTCTTCCAAAACCCTTCTGTCAGCTTACGTGAACTGTTGGAGGTTGAGAGTAGCTGAGTTCTTCAACACCAAGCCTTCATGCCAAGTTGCGCTTTGCTGATCCCAAGCTAGACATAAACCTACAGGTTGAAGTCCGTCTGGGAAATCCTGGTGTGCAAAGAGAGGAGCCAAGAGTAGGCAACTCATTTTAGCGTACCCGCTTTGGGAAAAATATGGAGCTCGAGTGTTGCCTGAGTTCCTCGAGGAAACTAGGGACAGTTCCCCCCATACTAAGGGGGTTTGAGTTCCTTCTATGAAGAAACCGTAAAGGGATAGATCATTGACGGGTTTTTTAGGTGCGATAGGACCAGCAAGGCCTGCGGAGGGCCTTGGAATTGGTCGATGCTGATTTGTAGGCCGAAGAAACCCTGGACACTTGAGCTTATTCCGTCAATCTGCTGGCAATTTGACTTGCTTGAAGCTTGGAACCTCAGAAAGCTTTACAGCAATCGGATGCGTTTTTTTTTGTGCGTTTGAGATACTTGGGCAGATTCAGGGTATTCAACCCCTGCCCATTGAAACCTGAGGTGCCGACAAAGGCGGCATTCTGGTCCGAGACGGGGAGAGCACATCATCAACGCAGCTGGCAGACCGACTCAGTGCCCCCTGCTTCCCCTAAACCGTTGAACTACAGTACCATCCCAGTCGTTCACTGGCACCCTTTTTCCTCTTTTGTTTGTGAGTTTCCTAAAAAAGACAGGCTTCCCGTTTCCACAAGGGGGTCACTGACATGGGCAAAAGGGAGTTTGGCCTATTTGTTGCTGTGTTTCATCATGTTGGGCGTTTTTCCAGGCCACCCTTCGGCGGTGGTTTGCACTGTCGGTGGTTTGAACTGGTGCTTCGATTGGGGAAATGTGAAGCCGCAAGCTCCAAACCATCCAAATCAGACTCATTCCCTGAGTTCACGGACTTCAGTCACTTTTTGGGTTTGGACCATGTTAGTGGCAAATGCAAAAAGTTCCTGGACGGAAAGAGCGTGTAAGCGGCAAATGCAAAAAGTTCCTGGACGGAAAGACAGCAGTGGCAAGTAGAAAATGGTTTACAAGACTTTTCTTGTGGCAAAGTCCACGGAGAGCAGAGGGAAGCTGATTTGAAGGTACCGGGGCTCGGGTGGAGCAGCTCGAGCTGAAAGGCCAGCGGCTCCACTACCGCCTCAGCTCAGGCGTCGCGCTCGTTACTCGAAGGGGCCGGTCGGACACGGCAGGGGTACTTGATGGCTTTTTGGGCGCAGGTTTGAAATTCTCATTTGTTGAATGGAGGGGTTGTTGCTGGGTTGGATCTTTGGGCTTGAATTCTTTGGTTGAAACAGCTTGAAGGTTCCGAATTGGACCCACAAACAGTGAGAGCACTTTTTGCAGAGGGGTCGTTACAGCAACCAAGGGCCTTTGCAAGGTTCTGGGTGCAAGTCATAGCCTTGTGTTATGTCCCCCATTTTTGGGGGGGAAATGCAACAGTTGGATATCTCTGAAGGAAACACAGCGAGATGATGGTAGGTTGTGCCATGTTTCTCCAAAGCGTGTGCCTGGACCCTCAAACTCCCCTGGACTGTCGGGGGCAATAACCAAATTTTCAAGGGTAGTTTAAGGGTCCAGGTACATGAAAAGGACATCGTTATTCGAGTGTTCACGTTTTGTTTTAGCAGATGTCCTTCGGCGACTCGCAGCGCAAGGTTGTTTTCAACATGCTGAAGCAATGTTCCCAGGCCCATTCAATCGTCCAGCCGGCTCTCACTGGAGATTTGTGCTTTTTTGCGCATCACCACGCACGGTGGCATGACCGGGTGGGCGCTTTTCTGGCCTTACCCGGGATATGGCAACCTCGGAAATTTGAATGGCTGGCTCTTACAAACATGTTGGCAACATGGGAAATGAACTTGTCCAATTCTGGCTTGGGTGCTGGGTTACTTGTGAGGCAGTCCTTGACGGCTTTGCTTCTGCTTGTTTCCCTCCTTGTTTATGTTGCAATGCTTATTGTGCACTACCCATCCTCCATATCGTCTCCCACCTACATAACCGACACAGCGTTTCATGCAGGTACCTAGAAGATCACTTTTCTTCAAGGGGCCCTCTGTCAGGTGCCGTGGTGTGAGGGAAGGGAAGCCCCTCATTGCTCACATGTTTTTTTTTCTCTGTGGGAACATGCCTGGGAGCTCGTAGGGAAGGACCGACAAGCTCACAAAAAGGAGGGCATGACAGTATGACATCGGAAAGTTTCCCAAAACTGTCCTTGTGCAGAGTGTCAGCGTACAAGCCTTTAGTTTCAAGTTGCGGCTCTTGTTTCTCGCTGTTGCCTGGCGGCAACCCTGTATATAGTTTGCTGCAGTTTACTAGGGCTTGAATGTGGTTGCTTCACTTGCATTATTTAGGAAATCCACCGGTGCCAGTCTAAACGTGCGCCTCCGCGCTTCGCACGGATCCGGAGGCACAGGGCCAGCTGAGGGATGGATCAGCATCGCCCTGTCAGGCCTGAGGGATGGGTCAGCGGGATGTTTGAGGTTAGTTGCAAGCCTCTTGAAAATACCGAGTGCCCTAACTTGCACCCAACGTCGTTTTGGATGCCTCCCCCACCCTCCACCTGCAATGTGCGCTTCGTATCGCACGAAGCTTCTGTTGCGGTTGGCCACTAAAGGGTGATCACCTTTTGTCTCCAGGTCCGTTTTTGGCAAGTGATAACAAGCTGACAGGACAGAGGGCTGTCCAGCTATGTTCACAATTAGTCCAACAATCCCTCAGGGCATCCCCCTTGTTCTAAAACCTGAGGCATGTCGAATGGTTAAACATTACCAGACTTAACAGTACAATCTGTTTGAGCCTTTTGCCTTCATGGCATTCCTTCATGTTCTCCTTCAACCCGCAGAACCTAAACAAACTTTTGCAGGGGGTCAGATCCGTCTGATCCAGCATAGTAGGCCGGCTTTGCGTTACTGGCTGCACAGGGAATTGGATGTCCTTTTTGGATCTTATTGGTACTTTTAAATCACCTTTTGTGGCCCGTAGCTGAGCTTCCCTTGGATGGCGATGAACGCGCAGTAAAACCAGGGACACCCTCATATTTCAATAGACAAGGATTTACCAATCCTGAGACTAAGAACAAGATGTGGAGGGAGTGGAACTTTGACAGCGCTAGTCAGTGTACCAAATTTGGGGTGTTGCAGCACTTGTCAATCTACAATTTGAGCATATTCCTTACCAGTACACGGGCCCCTTGTGATCCAGTTGCCGTGCCCGGCCCGAGAGGCCAGGCAGGCCGTCCCACTGGACGCGTTACTTGGGCGAAGTTAGAAGTCGCGAGGCAAAGACCTGGCGGTGCCCATCCGCGAGCACGTGGCGGTGCTGAAGCGGGACACCGAGCCCCGGTGTGCTGCGGAGCTCCAGAAGGTCCGGGGGCTGGGTTGGGGGGTAGGGGGGGTGGGTTTGTGCTTGTGGTGGGTCTCCTTCACAAGTACTTTTTATGACTTGAGGTATGAAACGGAATGCAAAAATTGTACTTTCTTGTTTGCCCCAGATGTGAGGCCAAGGTTAGGGTAGGCTAAATATGAAGTATAATCTGAAATTATCGCATTATGTGTGCTCCCAATGTGCGGCAAGGGATGTTAAACCCACTTAGTGGGCCAGAGCGGTGACTTGCACTGGGGGAACTGGGGAAGCAATGATTTTGATCGGGGGAACTAGGGTTCTCGTCCTTATACAGTAGCCATGCTGAAGACCCACGCGCGAAGTGGGTTGAATATCCAAGTCGGTGGAGCCACCGTTAGTGCGGAGGCGGGGCTGGCTGGGTTTCAGACCCAGGCTGGCAAACGGTTTCTTTGCAACGACCCTTAGGTCCGGAACACGTAGGGAGGTCCTATTCACAAAATGTATGGCCCACTCAAGCTGTAGGATTCTTTGGGGACAAAAGGACGACCCTGAATGGGGCGATATGCCAGGGTGGCTTCCAGGTTCTGCGGTACGTTTGCAGGGGACAGGCGTGGATGTCACTGTCCGACAGGAACAGAACGGACAAGTGAAAGGGCGTTAAAGTCTGAAGGAGTGTTATTGGTTTGCCACCGGAGCCAGGCACGGGCAGGTTTGAGCATTGACCTATGAGTGTGCAAGCCTCCAAGATGTTTGAACCTGCTGTTCGCCAGCCGCCGGTGGGCTGGACGCCGGTGAGCATGCCGCAGCTGCAAGAGAAGCACATGAAGGTGGCTGCTTGGCCGCAAAACAAGTCAGGCAAGTAGGCTATAATATAGCCTGCAATGGTGCTCTTAGTTTTTTTTTTTTTTTTTTGGTGTGGGGGTTCCCCATATGAAGTGAACCCAACCAAAAAGAAGTGCCCTGTTTCTGCATGGCCGCTGGATCAGGGTTACGACCAGGGTGGGAAGTGGGATCAACTGGGGTTGGTTTCCGTAGTGTTTACAACCGGCTCAGGAACTGAGTTGAGCATTCAGAGCAGGCACTCCACTTCATTGACTGGGAGGTCGTTCAAGAGGCCCTTTCGAACGGGGTGCTGAATACCCAGTAGCTAGATTCTGAGTTCCTCCTTTTTTGTTTGGGTTGGTTGGTTGGTTGGTTGGTTGGTTGGTTGGTTGGTTGGTTGGTTGGTTGGTTGCTTGCTTGCTTGGTTGGTTGGTTGGTTGGTTGGTTGGTTGGTTGGTTGGTTGGTTGGTTGGCTGCCTGCGTGGGCTCGTTCGTGTGTTTTTCGTTGTTTGTCGGTGTTTGTTTGGGGCTGCGCGAGTTCATCCAATAGGGCCAATACGGATAGCTCCGGCTTTTGGGGTAGCGGCGTGCTCTAACTCAGTATAACTGTGAATGACCCTTGAGTGCCTACATCACAGACTCCCTATCTACAACCCAGTCCTTGAAAGCCCTCCACGGTAGCAGGGACCTCTTCATACCTTGAGTGAGGGACTCTCACTGTCTATGCAGTTGGCAAGTTGTCTTTTTTGCTTTTCCTCCTGGTGATCACTCCGTTTCCCACCCCCTCAGTAGCTAGCATTGAGCCCCGTGCAGTGTGTGGGACGTGTTGACCTTGAGAAATCGCCACACCTTCACTCAGGCGCCAGGCATCATCTACATGATCGATTTTCCCTTTAATGCCGACACTTGGCTGCGATGGCCCGTTTGAACTATTTGGGCTTAAAACTTGGGCGGGCTCCTCTCTTTTAGTTCATCCAGCCAAAAATGAAGCAAGCACTTTCTCTTGTTTGGGCAATTGGTGTGGCTGGGTTTTCCTTTGGTCGCAGCTGTGACGGCAAGAGATGTGCAAGCCATGCCACACAGACGCTGGAGCACCGGGGAGGGGGGTTTGGCATTTGCCACAATCTTTGTCCTTGCCGTTGCCTGACAGATCAAGCAGGCAAACAGCGTCCCACTCAACCGCAAAGGTGACTTCACTGTTATTGGCATGTTCTTTTTTTCTCGTTTTTGGGTTCCGTTCATTTCTACTGGGTGGCTGCAACAAACAAAGTTTTTTTGCTACCATACCAAGAGTAGAGATGGTAAAAAGGCAACACAGGCCCCTTGCATCAGCCTCAAGAGTCGTTCAAGCCAGGATCGGGATCCGACAGAATCTCAACCATCTCCCGCAAGGTCTCGCGTGTCACACGCGCAGGGCGTGTTTAGTTGCCTGTTCCAAGAGGAAGAACCTGCCGAGAATCCGTCGCCTGTTCCAAGAAGAGAAACCTGCCCACATTTACTTTGACCGGTTCGAGTTACAAGTTACAAGGTGCGTTTGGGTATTCCAAGGCATGCGCCTTGAGACATATTTTCTTCATGAACGAGCTTGCCCTGTCAGATCCCAGGAGTAACACACTGAAGCAAAAAACCCAAGGTAAGGTGGTGAGGGAGGCTTCCTCAAGGGTAACTAATTGGGAGGTGACTCCTTCCTCTGTCGCTTCTTGTAACGCTTTTTGCTTGCAGGCGGTGTATCTCATCCTGCACGTGTCGCTTTTTCAGAGCCCTTTGTATTCCAGAAAAGGGGCTCATTTCTTTTGTCCATTCCTCAGCTCATATAAAAATTGCAATCGCAACATTTTTGCCAGTTTCCCACCAGCCCCTACTGCAGTCAAACTAGGGGTCTCTGGCTGGCTTGCTCCTCGGGGAAATATAGGGCCACTTTCTTATTAACAACTCCCTAAAAGCGATAAAGTAGCCAGGAAATGACCCATTTGGGGTCTCACAAGGAAAGTTGTTGCACAACCATGGGCTCTACTGTGGATGGACAAAATCCCGCACCAGTTGATAGGTGGTTCATCCCAGTATCGATAGGGTTTCATCCACTTTCAGCTGGAGCCTGGCGTGGATTTTGTCCATCCGCAGGTGCAGCATTTTGTCCATCCACCCCTCCCTTGTAGAGGGCAAATCTGCTTTCCCACACTATGAAATGGGTGTATCTTTTTTAGGGGACCCCCCCCCCCCAAATAAGGGTGGTTTCGTTTAGACACCAACGAAAACAGGGTACCCACAAAAATATCGACGAGCCACCCAATTCGAGGGCCCCCAACCTGAGGAGCTCCTGCAGAAGATGGGCCCCGCATGGCTGACTAAGGCCTTCCACGCTGCAGGCGCGAACGCCCCGTGCCATTTTAGTGGACGAAATGGAGAGCAGATGCACACAAAGCATTTGCAAGTATCGACATGCATATATGTATGTATGTAGTTGAATATAAATATATATATATATACACATGTAGTATTGTTTATTTACTTGCTTTTGCTCCTCTTAAACAAAAACAGACAATGGACATGGTTGTTTTGAGAGGGATCCCTTGTTTCAGGTTTTGGACTTGTTGTAAAACACATCTGCGGGTAAGCATAAGATATGTGCATCATTAAGTTGTGCATGCATTTCTTCATTGCGTTTGTTTGTTTGTTTGTTTGTTTGTTTGTTTGTTTGTTTGTCTGTTTGTTTGTTTGTTTGTTTGTTTGTTTGTCTGCTTGCTTTCTTGCATGCTTGTTTGTTTGTCTGCTTGCTTGATTGCTTGCTTGTTTGTTTGTTGGTTGGTTGGTTGGTTGGTTGGTTGGTTGGTTGGTTTTGCTGTGGTTGGTTGGTTTTGCTGTTTTTGTTCTGCTTGCTTGCTTGCTTGCTTGCTTGCTTGCTTGCTTGCTTGCCCTTTGCTTGCTTGCTTGCTTGCTTTGTGTTTCTTGGTTGGTCATTGGCGCTGGTTCCTAGGATCTTCTGGGCCACCAGAAGCAGGCCCTGTATTTTCTCCTGATCCACCTGCAATGATCCCTTCTCTTTTTGGCCTGTGCGGCTTCGCATCCATAGTCGTGCCATGTTCCGTAAAGTGCTGTTTCGTTGTGTTTCCTGCACTTAGGCAGGCTTGTCCAGGGTATGTTGGTCAGCTAGTTGTTGGGCTTCTTATGGATCAGTTGCCTGATTTGCTTGAGTCACTTTCTGAGGACAAAGTGCCACCGGACAGGCTGCCAGCTGGAAAGTGGCCTGGCCGTGGCTTTCAATTTACATTTGCCCATAGTTCACCAAGTTTCATGTTGCCATTTGGCACGAATTCATTTCTCTTGGGTGACCTTGCGTGCTCCCATGTACATCAACCAGGGGCTTCGGCGCTTGGACGCCAAGTATCCTGGGCAGGCTCCATCCCCAAGGACAACAAAGTGAAGACCTTGAAGAACATCAAGGCGCCTTCGGAACTCAGTGCCTCATGCTGGAGATGGTTGCGAAATCCGTTTGCACCACGTAAGAAACTATGCAGAACAAAACCAGGTTTGTTGGTATTTACAGGGGGGAAGTCATCAGAAACTGGGCCTTCTTAGGTGCAGGATTTGGTCCATCCACAGTATGGCTGCATGCAAAAAAACAAAAAACGAATTTTGAGCCCTTCAGTGGGGGACGGGTTCTTTTGCTGAGCCAGAGCATTTGGAGGGATACAACTTGGATGCGAATGTTTGATCATTTCTTTTCCGCACTGCTTGCTGGGATGCCATGATCATTTATTTCCAAGTTCCGCGCTCATTCTGACTGAGCGCGGAATCCAAGACTCCATGGGCATGGAATCGAGGCAGGGAATGCTCGACCTGCGGCGGGGGCTCAGTGGGGAATGCCCCGGGGGTTTTGGAACATTCCCTTTTCTGTCAAAACACCTGCCGATATGTGTCTATGTTTCGGAAGTGGATCAATAGAAAAGTTGCATAACATAGAAACTTGCCTAGAGATTTCCTCAAAGGAAGCCACAAGAGATGGTTTATGGGGGTCATCCCCTCATTCCCTGCAAGTCAAATGCACAGCCTTCGTTTTAAGCCAAGTCAAGGGAGGCTCCTTGTGACGCGCACTCCAAAGGCGGTGTGCCGACGAGAACCTGCCCTGGTGAGTCGGGCCGAATCCGAGCGCAGGAGTACATCGGTGGCGGGAACTGCGCCAAGCTGATTTTCGATGTGGCCTATCAGCATTTGATACATCACCAGCGATGCACGGATCTTCTTTTTTTTTTTGGCTCTGGACAATTCAAACATCCAAGAACTCACCTTTGACTCCTTTGGACAAGTTTGGCTTGCTACTTTGGTCAAAATCCAGAGTTTCAATAAGAGAAGGTCTTTTGGACAAAACGTGGTGCAACCGAAACATGTGTTGTTCAGGCTTATTCCTTGCACGTCCAGGTCATGGCCACCTTGGGAACAACTTTTCGACTTGAGGTGTTTGAGAGGCTATCAAAGGAGGGACCCCGGTGTTTGTTTTCCAACTTGCCCACCGACATGTAGCCCCAACAACTTAAAGAGTACTTCCGGCGACTTCCGGATTGGACAATGCCAGGCTTCCAATCACTGAAGCGCAGTTTTTTCTCCCTCGTGATTGAAAACCACGGATGGTCATGACTGGCACCAGAAAAAGGCGGCTTCCTGGACCCTCAGACTACGTGCCCTTAAAAAAGGGGAAGCGCCCCATGATGTTGGGGCAAACCGTAGTTTGAGGGTCTAAGTTGTGATTTCTCAGACGCCCCCGCAAAGAAAAAGAAGAGCAAGTTGAGGGTCTAGGTTGTGATTTCTCGGACCCCCGTCCCCCCCCCAAAAAAAAGAAGCACAAGACAAGATACTTTTCTTGGTGGCTCCCAGCCATCCACCTAGCTTTTTAGCCTTTTAGTGTTTAGGGGTGGCTTCCATTTCACCCACTAGAAGTTCGTCCAACTTTTCGCGGATCCGAAAACGGGCAGCCCAGATGCTCGTTTGTTTTCCCTCGAGGTGGAGTACGAAGTGCCGGCCCCGGACCTCCACACGCAGCTCTTCGCGAAGATCCCCTTCCCCTTGGCCGGGAACACTTTGTCCGACCGCATGGCCTCCTCGGTGATGCAGCGCCTCGGCCTCTGCCTCGGCAAAATTTGGCAGCTACGGGGATCCGTAGCTTTTTTGTTGTTGATGTGCGTGCGTGCGTGCGTGCGTGCGTGCGTGCGTGCGTGCGTGCGTGCGTGCGTGCGTGCGTGCGTGCGTGCGTGCGTGCGTGCGTGCGTGCGTGCGTGCGTGCGTGCGTGCGTGCGTGCGTGCGTGCGTGCGTGCGTGCGTGCGTGCGTGCGTGCGTGCGTGCGTGCGTGCGTGCGTGCGTGCGTGCGTGCGTGCGTGCGTGCGTGCGTGCGTGCGTGCGTGCGTGCGTGCGTGCGTGTGTGT